CTCTCTTCGCAAGCTTCTCATTTCTTAAGCCAGAGTTCTATACCTTTCCCATTTCGAGGCCCACTTTCATCCTGTTTTGTAACTACTGTCTCATAGAATTCCTTTTGTACGGGATGTCATATTTTAAATCTAGCAGTTTTCAAGTGATTGCAGTTTTTATCCATTTCTATCCCTGACAGCTCTATCCTGATTGAGCTGAATTAAGATGTGCTTAACACAAAGAGAGTTTGCTCTCCAGACCGACAGACAGCCCTTGTGGGAACAGGTCTTAAGGGAAGGGTCAGAAGCCCTCGTCAGCTAGGCAAAGTGGCTCTGACCGTAATGCCAGCACTCAAGAGGGTGAAGCAGAGGATCACAAACTTGAGGCCAGACTGGACTACACATCATAGCCTCAGCTCTGTAATAAGATCTTGTGTCATCAATGTATTTTTTAATTGATTTTTATCGAGCATTGAGCTCCACATTTTTCTTTTTTGTTTTCTTTTCTTTTCTCTCTCTTTTTTTTTTTTTTTTTTTTGTTTTTCGAGACAGGGTTTCACTGTAGCTTTTGGAGCCTGTCCTGGAACTAGCTGTTGTAGACCAGGCTGGCCTTGAACTCACAGAGATCCACCTGCCTCTGCCTCCCGAGTGTTGGGATTAAAGGCGTACGCCACCACTGCCCGGTAGCTCCACATTTTTCTCTGCTTCCCTCCCTAACTCTCCCCTCCCCTTCAACCCTCTCCCATGGTGCCCGTGCTCCCAATTTACTCAGGAGATCTTGTCTTTTTCTACTTCCCATGTAGATTAGATCCATGTATGTCTCTCTGAGGGTCCTCATTGTTGTCTAGGTTCTCTAGGATTGGAGTCACCAGTGTATTAATTACTCTTGTTGCTGTAACAAAATGCCTGATGAAACCGAGCTAAGGAGGGCAAGGCTTGTTTAGGCTTTCAGTTCAAGGGTACAGACCATCAAGGCAGGAAAAGCACGGCAGTAGGAACTGGAGGCGAATAGTTAGTCATACTCCATCCTCGGTCAAAGCAGAGAGGAGTGCTGCTGCTCCGCCCATTTCTCACTTTCTCCTTCTCCTTCAGCCCAGCTATTGAGCTGTCTACATCAATTAGCAGAATCTAGAATTTCCCTCACAGACAGGCCCAGAGCTGTGTCTCAGGTGATTCGAGATCCTTGCAAGGTGACAATCAATAGTAACAGTTACATGCTGCAAGAAGGGACCTCTTAACAAAGTCTCTAGTCTCTGGAAGGACAAGGAGCTGCCACTGGCAATCAGTGTCCTTATCTGAATCAGGGAGAGCTCTCTGGCAGCTACATGAAGGGCAGACTTGGGAAGGCAGGTAGAAGTAGGAGTAGTAATCGCAAGGCTGCCGCACAGGTGGTCAGAGGAGCGTATCCACGAGAGCCCGAGGAGACAGAGCTATCTAACAGCTGGAGCACACCAGGGTTTCTCCAGAAGGGAGTTAGTTACAAGTGGCCTCAGGTTTCCAGCGTGACTGGCCTGGTGTATTGAGAAGCCCTCGACTAGGCAGCAAGTATAAGACAGAGGTGAGCAGGGTATGGAGAAGTTTGGAATAGTTTGTAAGACAGCCTTAATAAAGCCATGCAAAATATGTTCAGCGGGCAGTTGAAAATAAGGTTAGACAGAGTGGCAGTGGCTGCCACTATAGGTAAAGCCAGAGAATCAAATGCGATTACTTCAGTAGTAAATGAAGAATAAAAAGGAGTGAGCTGGGAGTGAAACTGGGTACACTAGTATTCAACAGGCAGACCCAAGAAGAGAAGTGCACAAAGGAGGCCGAGAACTGTCCGTGATGTGGGAAGCCCTTCTGTATGTGTGTTGCTTTATTGATTAAGGAATAAAGTTGCTTTGGCCTATGGAAGGACAGAACAGAGCTAGGCAGGAAAACAAAACTCAGTGCTGGGAGAAAGAAGGCAAAGTCAAGGAGACAGATGCCTGGAAACTTTACCGGTAAACCATGAGCCTTGTGGTAAAATGGGTTAATTCAAGATGTAAGAGTTAGGTAGGAATATGCTAGAATTATTGGCCAAGCAGCATTGCAATTAATATAGTTTCTGTGAGATTATTTCGGGTCTTGGCAGCCAGGAATAAATGAGCAGTCTCTGCCTACAAGCCTGAACAGAGGAAACCTCAGAAGCAAGGCATGGTATAGCACATGCCTTCAATCCCGACACTCAGAAGGTGAAGGCAGGAAGATCACAGATTCAAGGCCAGGGTATACACAGAGATCCTATCTTTGAAGAGAGAAAAAAAGAAAAGGGAAGGAAGGAAGGAAAGAAGGAAGAAAGAAAAGGTGACTGGGGGAAAGAAAAGAGAAGAAAAACAACAAACTGGAAGTGATCATAGGTACAAGAGTCCAAAAAACAGGGGAGAATACATAGCCAGGTGGTGGTGGCCGGCACTGCACAACTTTAATCCCAGCACCTAGGAGGCAGCAGGAGAATCTGTGAGTTGGAGACCAGCCTGGTCTACAGAGTGAGTGCCAGGACAGCCAGAGCTACACTACATAGTGAGACCCTGTCTTTAACAAAGGATTACTTAACCTGGCATTTGGGAAATCCCAGATAATAGAGAGCGCTCTGCACAGAGGAGCAGCAATGAAGCTGGAATTTGGGGCAGGTTCCAAATGTAGACTCTCCAAGGGAGTGTGTATGAAAAAGGCTGCTTGAGACGGAGTAATAATGGTCTATAAAGTATAAAAACCAGAGAACAAAACTAGTCAACACAGGCAAGCTGTTTGGCACAACAGCTAGCACACAGTAAGCACCATAAATACAAGTCACTACTACCACACATTCACTAGCGTACTATAATAGACTTACTCTGCACCAGGGCTGCTCTGGGCCTCAGTCCTGACCTAAGGTCATTAACATCAATGGAGGATAGAGACAATGAGAAAAGTTACTCAAATTAAATGATATAGTTGCTAGCAATAAACACTAAGAAGAAAAAACAAGGTAGGGGGTTCTTCCTAGTTTTGTTTTGTTGCTATGATTAAATATTCTGACAAAAAGCAACTCAGGAGTGGTGCGGGAGAATTATCTGTATTCTGTCAATCATGTATTTTAATAAAACGCTGATTGGCCAGGCAGGAAGTATAGGTGGGTCAACAAGACAGGAAGTAGAGGCGGGGCAATGAGAATAGGAGAAGGCTAGGAAGGAGGAAGCCCATTCCTCCATTCCTGCCCAGACCACAGAGAAGCAAGATGTAACCTGCCCTGCTGGGAAAGGTACCGAGCCACATGGCTAACACAGACAAGAATTATGGGTTACCATAAGATGTAAGAAGGCCAATCAGTTTATACCCTAATGTAGACTCTGTGATTTTCTTTGGGACTTGCCGGCTGTGGGGTACTGGATGGGACAGAAACCCCAGCAAGCCAGCCTTCATGTAACACAGGAGAAAAGTTTATTTTTGCTCACAAATTCCAGATTACAGTCAAGGAAGGAACTTTAAACAGCTATCAGCTCAAACCCAGAATTAAAAGCAGAGAGAAAGAACACATTGTGCCCACTTAACGGCTTGTTTATGCTCTGTTCAATTCTCCCCTCTCATACAATTTAGGACACCACCCCCTCCAAAGGGAATGGTGCTGCCCACAGTGGACTGGCTCTTCCCGTATCAATTAACTTACTTTTAAGACAATTCCTTATTGAAATATCCCCTGCCATCCTAATGAGAACAATCAATCATCCAGACTCCCTTTAAAGGTGACTCTGGGTTCTGTTAACACCTAAGCAAACAATTAAAGCTAACCATCACAGAGAGGGAAGTATTAAGTGCTGAAGAAAGGAATAATTTTAGGTAGGGAAGCCTGAGAAGGTAACTCTTAGGGAGAGACCCAAAGGAAATAAAGTAAGCAACTATAATTAGGAGGGAATAATTACTATCATTTGCATTGCTATTAGCCATTTCTAATAGAGTATTACAGCAAAAGTGTATTGTTATCACATATTATTACTGCTTTCTTTGCTACAATTAATGATGTGATAATCACTGTCGGTCATCTCTGGCTGCTGGGTCACTTTAGCAGTGACTGTAGTCGTCAAGGCTTATGGAATCTAGCACCAGGAAGGGCAGAAGCAACGTGACACTCGGGAATTGTGTGTTCAGAGTAGCAAACAAGAGAAGCCAGGCATTACAGCTCAGGTCTCCAGTCTCCGCACTTAGAGCTTAGAAAAGTTACAAATCTGAGGAGGGGAAGAGTGGGGAGAGGGGGAGAGACTATGAACGCGAAATAACAGAATGTTTTGTGTGTGTGCTAAGGCGGATATTCTGCCCCAACATGCATGCATGGAATGTCACACACCAGGATCATCTTCAGGCCCAAAAGGTACTGAAACAAAGGGATCGCTGACGCAAGGGAGCACGGCGATCCCATCTCAGATGAGCATATGTGTAGTGTATGTGGCGAGATTACAAGACAGGATTGTGCTTCTACAGGGACATTTATTTGGTGGTTAGAAACAGGGATGTATGAACGCCATAAGAGAATCATTAAGAGGAGCTGGAAATCTTTGCTATTTGCTAAGGCAAGCACAATTCTGGAGTGAGGCAGGTGTGTAACAGTGCCTGCTGGACTATACTAAACTAATGAGGATTAAATCTTGCTCATGACTGAAACAAAAACCCTTGAAGATTAAAATCTTATAGCTGGGACTGGAGAGATGGTTCAGCTCAGTGCATCCACATGGAGTCTCACAACTATCTGTAACGCTATTCCTAGAGGGTCTGACAGCCTCTTTTGGCTTGGGAAGGCATCGGGCATGTATGTGGCACACAGAAATACATGCAGGCAAAATGTCCACATGCATTAAAAAAAAAGAAAGCCCAACCAGCAGTAATGAGAACATAAAAAGGTGCCTGTCAATTCCCTGGAAACATTGTGGGTGATGTGTGCACACCATCCCCGGCTGTGAAACTAAATGACCACATAAAACCCGCGAAGGAAAAAAATTAAATACGCCAATTATGTTTTACAGCTTGAGTAAACAGCAATTCATATTTCAAGTTTTATTACATTTTCATACACTTAAAGAAGGATATATATTACATTCATTCACATTATATATGTCCCAGGAATTCCCAGAACTCAGTATTTAATCTCATTCTACTTGAAGGGTAGAGAAACCAAAGTATGGGGCTGACACTCGAGCACAGCAGCACAGAGCTGGCTTAGTGAGCATTTGCAAGGCTCTGGTTCCAATGCCCAGTATAGTTTAAAAAGGAAAAAATAAATGGCTGCCTTCAAGACCATACAACATGCCAGGAATCCAGAGTCTTGGTCATCTGGCAAGTCTTCCAGCAGAGGAACATGGCGGGAAGGCAGAAGGAGAAGAAAACACTGGCTGAGAAATAACTCACTCGCTTGTCTAATTGAAAATGCAGGATGTCAGTTCCCATGAACTTTATTGCCTCCTTCTTCAAACATCCTTATGACTTCACAGTGTGGTCAAAGTTCCAAAGGATATCTATATTCTTTGTGAGCTGCTGGGCCAGGGTACCTGTTAGGTCTGCAGAGTCCTTCAGTCCTGACTGCAGCAGGAACTTGGTGCAAGCCACATGCTGACCTGCACAGGCCAGATGCAGGGCTAAAGGGAGACAACAACGGTCCATGCTGAGAACATGCACTGCATTCAGAACCCACTGGATTATTCAGTTATGCAGAGCTTGCAGTTACTTAGAGCGTGAATGTGTGTGTTTGTTCATTTGTCACAGTGCATGTGGAGAGGGAGGTCAGAGGGCACCGTGCAGAAGTTGGCTCTCTTTCACTATATGGATCCTGGGGGATACAACACAGATCACCAGGCTTGGCTACATGAGCTCTCACCCACTAAGCCATCTTGCCTGATACCCAGTTATACAGATTTTACACTTTCATAACCAACCCATGATGGCCTATATTGGATCACAATTTAAACCTAACTTGGGCGAAAATATTTCTAAAGAAAATAAACCGGCAAGGTGTGCTGGCACACACCTTTAATGCCAGCATTCGGCAAGCAGAGGGACGTGGATCTCTGTGAGTCTAAGGACAGCCAGGTCTACAAAAAAGGGACTGGAGGCAGGGCTGAGCAGTTAAAAGCACTGGCTGTTCTTCCAAAGACCCAGGTCCAATTCCCAGCATCCACAAGGAGGCTCACAGTCTCTGTAAATCTAGTTCAAGGGGATCCAACCTCCATAAGCACCAGGGATGCACATGGTGCTTACACACATAAAGGCAAAACACCAATACACATAAAAAATATATATGTAAGTAAAATTTTAATAACAACAAAAAAGCTAAACCAAAAACCATGATGTCAGTAGCTCCAACAGCTTTTACAAAGAAAAGGTTATTTTAAGGAAGAGTGTTTGGCTTTCAGGGCTAGGGATTGCATGTAGGGCAGCATGCACATTAGGTAAGAGCCCACCACTGAGGCGTTCAGTCTACATCAATGCTTTCAACTAAAAAGTACCCGAGTCATTAGGATTCCGTACCTGAGCGATTTCTTTCATCTTTAGAGTTGATGTCGGCACCCAGGGATAATAGCGTTTGAACGGTGCTTGTCTGTCCTTCCTGAGTGTGGAAATAAACTCATTACTGCTGTGATGAGGGCAAAAACAACCCTTTAAAAACAATCTCCAGTGCACACTGGAATCTCTTCCTGATGCAGCCAACCGCAAATACGGAAGCTTCTTGTTTTAAGGACAATTTATATCAGCCATGATTCTCACACGAATTGTTAAATATTTGTAGCATTCAGTTATCAGGATGGATAATATGATTAGAGTTCCATCAAGGTCAGCAGTAAACCTTGTGGATTATATGGATCTTAAAAAATCCCCAAATTTCCCAAGCATACAAACTCTTTGTTTGCTGAGGGGAATTGTAAGAATGGCTCAGTGGTTAAGAGCACTGGCTGTTCTTCCTAGGGGACCCAGGTTCAATACCCAGTACCCACATGGCAGCTCACAGCTGTCTGTGACTCTAGTTCCAGGGCATCTGACCCTCGTACATAAGACATACATGCAGGCAAAACACCAATAAACATGAAATAAAAATACATAAAGTTAAAAAAACAAAAAGATTTCAGATTCAGTCTTTTTATGGGGGAAATATTCGTGGACTGGGCCCTCAGTCCATTCGTGAATCTATATTCCTTGTATTCTGGGGGAGTGTGGTGGGGATCGTTGGTCAGAAAACATGTACTCTTGCTTCTAGAAAACCAGATAAAGGCACGTAGCTTCTAAACAATGTATAATAAGCAAGGCTCCTAAAATAGCTTTTTATTTAGTGAAATATTTATGGACATCTTTAATGTTTTATACATTGGAGAGACTAGTAGATGCAATTTCTTTGTGTTAGTTAAAGAGATTTTAAATTCTCATTTCAATATAAGAACTACAAATTTCATATAATGAGTCTTTGTTCATTTGTTAATTTTTAGCAAATCATTTAATCTTCATGTGTGTGTGTGAACACATGTATGCAGGTGCCTGCTGAGGCCAGAAGGGGAAATCAGTCAGATCCCCTGGAGCTGGAGTCACAAACAACTGTGAGCTGCACCCAGCACACATAACATTGCGTTATCTCTCCAGCCCCTTACTTATTTATTTATAATATAAAACAATTAACTTTACTGTACTAAAGTGAGTTCCATAGTTCGCTTTTAAACACTTAAGAGACAACTGAAAAGGCCTCCATCACCCTTCAGCATCTTCACGGGTTTAAATAACATTCCTGAAAATCAGGGTGGGACGGGGTACATAAAACCCAAGTATTATATAGAACTAAAAATACTCCTCTCTCCATTTTTGCCTAGAAACCAAAAATGCCATGTTTCTATTTAAGGAAATTAAAAGATTCAGAATCACAAACATCTCAAGAAGATAGAATATAGATGGATCGAAGATGCCAAGACTGCAGAGCTGTCTGTCATTGGAGCAAACCAGGCCAAGGGAAGAAATGCTGCCAGGAGAAGCAACTGACCTTGGCTGCATAAAGAAGTGCTGTGAGCTGGGTTGACTTTGCTCTCACATCTACATCAATGCCAAGACCAGACACCAGGAACCGGATGGCTTCATCCTGCCCAGTGACTGCTGCTCGGTGTAGAGCCTGGGCCCCCAGGCTATCTTCCGCTGAAGGGCAAGCCTAGTAGACAGGAAAGAGGGGCGATGTAAAAAGCGGAGGAAGCTGGGTTCCCAGGCCTGCACAAGTTTTGGTGCAGCTGTCTGTGTGGTTCTTCTGGGCAGAGCTCATAATTTCTTCTGTTCTCAAAGTGCCTGAACTAAAATGTAGCTGAGTCAATGCCCTGTCTAGCGTGTCGTAAGCTCTGCCAGGACGGTTTGTTGCTATTACAATCTAAGTGACAATATGTACTGAATCCTTAATTTTCTAACTGCTCTGTGTGTGTTGGACTATTGGATCCTCCCTAGCTGAAGTCCAAGATTCTGAGCATGCTACACAAGCACTTTACTTCGAGCTCCAACCCCTGCATCATTAAATTCTTTTAGGGACCTTCTGAAGAAATCACATTTTGTCACAATTTTAGAGATGGGAATACTTATGCATGTATGTTTACAGAGGTCAAAGATGGAGAAACTCAGAGGAGGCAGGATTTGAAGGCAGTGACTGAATAATGATGTACTGTTTATCCCCAGATCTAACATTTCTAAGAAAGAACTAAAGGAATAAGCAGAACCACTTCATACCTGGTGTCTTTCAAGGAGCAGCAGGGCTATGTTAACATGGCCACATTGAATTGCATCCATGAAGGGTGTGACACCACAGTTGTCTCTACAGTCTGGCTCATAGTGACACCTAGAGTCAAATCCAAAATGATACAACCGTGAATATTCACCATTTCCAACCCAAGAAGGTGGCAGGGTGGCTTGCAGGCAGGCTGTGTGCCTTACACAGTGGCCATCTGGAGCTTTCTTTCCCATGACCACTTCAGCACCTGAACTGAGTTCCGCATCTTCAGGATCTTCCCCTTTTAACCTTCTCTATCACGACAGCCAGAGCCTGTATTTCTTGAGCTTTATGAAGCTTGGACGCTTTGTAGTCACCCTTACTATAGCTTCTTCTTTCCTCCCCTGACCAATTACCTAAATATAATTCTGCAGCCAGACTACTTAAAACATCTATATGCTCCTCTCTGTCGCTGCTTTCACCCTATGCACAGGTCAACTGACACAGCCCTCTAATACTCTCTTCTTATCATGATCCTCACCTCACCTTCCCCTGCTCCCATTCTCCATGGCAACTGGTCATCAGTCAGCTTGATGGCTGTCATGGTCCAGAACTCACGCTTCTCCTGCGTCAGTCTTTGGAGGACTGGCATTACAGATGTGTGCCAGAGCATGCAGCTTTTTAATTCTAGGGTTTTGTGGCATTATTTATGCACAGTGTCTTTTTCATTAGCCTATGAAGGCCACTAGAGAAGAGCTATGTTTATTTCATTACTCAGACGTAACGCACAAAGGTTACTGAAAAGTGTTGCTTCAGTGAAGAGTATTTTATAAATTTGCAGAAAAGCAAATATGTCCCATCTGTGCTTCCAAGTGCTTGACACGTGCTTTTAGGACCCAGGGTTCACGGCTCCTTTTCACCTATTATCTTTTCCACGTCTACATCACATCACCATTCATATGCAGCAAAGTTTCACATTTCTTTCTGGTCCATCTTGTCTCTACGCACTTGAACTCTGCTTTGATCTCTCACCGAGGTGCACCTACTCCACTTGTTCCAAAGTGAAATTTTTATGCTTCCAGCCCCAACCCTGCTCCTCTTCCGGTGTCCAGTGTCTCAGCAGGTGCCACACTGTGAAAGTCATGTTCCCTTGCTCCTCCTTTATTTTCTATGGTGCTAGAGATGAAACCCAAGGCCCTGAAAATGCTATAGGCAAGCATTCTCCCACTGAGCTACATCCCCAGACTCTCTCAGGTCATTTTCATCAAATTATCTCCCTATTCCTATTGTTCAGCTTCTTAAAGACACCCCTCAACCCACCTCTTTCTTCTTCCCCTAGTCACTGTTCTACTGCTGCAAAGAGAACTCTTTATGAAAGAAAGCATTTAACTGAGGGCCTGCTTACACTTTCAGAGATTCAGTTCATCATCAACACGATAGGGAGTATGGTGGCATTCAGGCAAGCACTGGGACTGTAGCTAAGAGTTACATCCTGATCCCTAGGCAGAGAGATCCTAGGCCTGGCATAGGCTTTTGAAATCTCAAAGCCCATGCCCAGTGGCACACTTCCTCCAACAAGGTCACGCCTCCTATTACTTCTAACCCTCTCTCCATGGTAACTAAACATTCAAATATATGGGAGCATTCTTATTCAAACCACCACACTCTCTACACTCATCTCTTCAGCCCAGATACCATCGTTTCTCCTGTTTCACTTCATCAACCAAAGAGATCATTTCACAGAAACCTGCTCTCATTCCAGGCTCATTTATATTTTGTAGCCAGGTGATGCTTCAACAGTGCTTTTTTTCTTATGACCCTTGGCTTAAAAACCCTTCAACAAGGAGCCTGGAGAGGTAGTTCAGCAGCGGTGAGGACTTGTTGCTCTTCCAGGGGACCTGGGTTTGATTCCCTCTGACATCCTCTTCTGGCCACCACAGGCACCAGGCATGCATAGGGTATACAGACATGCATGCAAGCAAAACATTCAGATACATAAAATGAATGCAATGGTCTACAGCATCCATATTGTTTACCATTTAGACTTTAGCATAGCCCGAACTACTTCCTGTCTCTCAAATGTGCTACTCTTTTTCTTGGTGCAAAAAGCTCCGTTGTCCCTACTCACAGCCGCTGTTGTCCCCACAGCTTTGGCTGTGCTGGTGCTGAGACATTTATTTCTTCAGTCTTTCCTAATTTACACTGGGTCTTCCTCTCACACACTCCTACAGGAACCCCGAATTCCTTGCAATGCCCATTGGTACGTGGCCCTGTTCAGTTTGTGGACACTGAGCTCTATAACTAAGAAATACTTTCCGCCAATTTACCATGTTGTTCTTACCTAGCAAGAAGCTCCTGTACTGCTTCAAAACAGCCATGCATTGCTGCGGGGGGGGGGGGCGGGGGGAAGAATGGAGACATTCAATCAGAACTTTTTACTATATAACTTTTTAGTGTATAACTTTAGTGTATAACTTTGTAGTGAAACTTTCTTGGCTGGTGTAGTGGTGTGAAAGAAAATGGCCCCAAAGGGAGTGGCACTATTAGGAAGTGTGTGGGCTTGTTGGAGGAAGTGTGTCACTGTGAGGGTGGGCTTTGAGGTCTTCTATGCTCAAGCTGCTCCCAGTGTCACAGACCACTTCCTGCTGCCTTCAGACCAAGATGGAGCCAGCACCACATCTTGCCATGATGATAAGGGACTAAACTGCAAGTCCTCAATTAAGCGTTTTTCCTTTATAAGAGTTGCATGGTCATGGTGTCTCTTCATAGCAGTAGAAACCCTAACTAAGACAGCTGGGGAGGTAACTCATTGGACAAACATCTTTCTCTTGGCGCTAATTTTTTTTCTTTAGATTTATTTATTCTATTTTCTGTGTATAACTGTTTGGTTTGCATGTCTGGTGATGGATCCCTTGAAAATAGGGATCTAGAGCTAGAGATGGCTGTGAGCCACCATGTGGGTGCTGGGAACTTTGGAAGATCAACAAGTGTTCTTAGCTGTTGAGTCATCTCTTTAGTTACATTGGCCCTGCTCTTCTCACACAAGGAAAACCTAATATAGGTAATATATCTGTTCTACCCCCGCCCCCCGAAAACCCAAGCAAATAAATGGCAAAGAATGATTTTTTCACTTTAAGCACTTCATTTCATCCTTAGAGCACGTTCACGGCAAACTTCCAGTTTTAAGCCTACCTCCCCACCTTGGTGCTGTTATTTTCAAAGGCTGGTGTAGCCTCTCACCAGGAAACTGCAAAGACATTTTGAAGGTAACCTATTTAACAGTAATCTATGGAAATTATTCAGAAATCTACTCCTCCGACTGAAGATACCTATTCTCAACAGAAAAGATTCTATCTGGCCTCCATTTATTTTAGGTAAGTGATAGATTGGTGACCGGCGATATTTTGGGGAGTGTGCGTGATGGGAACCAGCCAGGTATTTTATGAACTAGGCGGACTTTCCTACTTACTCAAAAAGTTTCAGGAAAGATTCCTTGGTCCATAAGTGCCAGCTATGGCCAGAGAACAACTGGGTGCTTGTTCCCAGACAGTATGGACTGAATCATATCTCAGGCATTGATCTTTAGAGATAGTACAAGCTCAGTATCCTAATTCAGTGAACTGCGTCTTAGACTAAGAATTATTTTCCAAATTTCTATCTTTGTGGGGAGGGTTATTGGGGGACTTGAGATAAGGTCTCTCAACATTGCCCAGCAGGCCATAAACTTACATGGCTTCTGCTGCCTCAACCTCCTGAGTGCTAGAACTAGAGAGGCGTGCACCATGCTGCCAGGCTTATTTTCCAACTTTCTTGTTTTAGACTTTTGAGCCCATTATCCACACACTCCACGCTAATTTTGCTTTTTGTCAAGACTCTACAGCATGGTATCATCCCCACTGTGAAAAGCTAAGAAGGACATTTGCTCAAACACAGACCAAGTTCTCTATCCAGGGTCACAGACTTTGGAAGGAACAGAACCAGCCTGCCAGCTAACTGACCAGGAAGGGTAAGACAGACACACAGGAAAGCTGAACTAACACAGTGACCCGAGAGCCCAGGCCTCCATCACTTTACAAACTTATGGTCTGCCAAGAAATCCCAAGGTGCTCTGATGCCTAGGTTTCTGGTTTTTCCAAATCCTCCATTCCCCCTTGCAGATGACTTGAACTAGAAGGTGTAGGCAGTGCTAGGGTGAAGCCAACGGCAGAAAGCAGCAATTGCAGGCTATACCTGCAGTATGTAAAGGAGTTCTTCTAATCTTGCTCTCTGTTTTCCAAGCATCCGGGCAGACCGTGAGCAAGTACCGGAGGATCACAGGGTCGCCTTCTCGACTGGCAATGTGGAAACTGTTCCAGCCATCCTTGTTCTTCAGGAGTGGGTTGGCACCGTGTTCCACAAGGACCTGGATCACTTCAAGGTTCTTCCTTGTACAAGCCATCATCAGAGGAGTCCTAAGGTCAACCAGGATGGAAAGGAGCTGAGGCATTTGGAAGAAGCCAGGCCTTCAGGGAATGTATGTCTTTGGTAGAGATGGAAAACCTGGGGGAGAGGGGCAGGAAAACAGCTTAGATGGTCAACCTCTGGCTTCTCTGAGGACTGTGGAGACATAACAAGGGGAAACTGACTCATATGTATCTATTGGAGCAGGCTATCTGAGAGGCAAAAATTGTTTGTGAGTCAAGCGGAGAACTGATAAAAACCACAGGTAACCCTCAAGATATAGTGGGATGATTTTACAATATCGACGGAGATGTGCTTTTAATTACATGGTGCTTTCCTGTCCTTGATGTGCTGAGGTCAAATTCAGGGGCTCCTGCATGCTAGGAGGCGTCACCACCTCTGATATATTTTCCACCCACTATGCTTTGACAGATTTGAAATAACTTGGAAGGCAGGTACTTCATTAAGTTAGGAACCCAAAAAAAGGTAACAGGCTCCCAGGAACCAGACATAGCACACACACACACTCACACGTCAACCTAGCAACAAATGAAACTGATTTGTGTGGTGGAAGAGTATCATCACCATGCTGGTGGCTCTGCAAGGCTAGATGTGACGAAATTGCATGCAGCTCAAATCCAATGCATGTGCAACAGAAAGCTATCCACTGCAGCATGTCAATTAAAAATGATGCATTTGTGAACAAGTAATTCAGCAAGATGTCTCCAGAAGAACACATCCTGGGCGCATGAGTAATACAATTCATCCGTTAACTAGTTGATTACACTTCTATACTCTCTCAACGGGAAAAGTCCTTTTTGTCTTATTAGTTAGGACAATTGTCCTAACGAAAGAGCCAAACCTACGAAGAGAGGAAGGTTGGAGTGAGACTTAGAAGCTGGGAAAAGTGGACACACTTAAAAATTACACAAAAACCTGCGATTCTTCGAGAAGTGGCGATGTAGCTTTTCTGGACCCTGGGCACTTACCAGTCCGCCTTCTTCAAGGAGTCCACGGCTGCCCCTCGGCCCAGGAGGTAGCGCACGCAGTTCCGGTGGCCCATAGAGGCAGCTTCGTGTAGAGGCCGCTTATAGTCTCGGTTGGCAGCCTCGATGTCCATACTCCAAGCCTCCACTAGATAAGCCAGAATGTTCTGATGCCCGTGGCGGGCCGCACAGTGGAGAAGGGTGTCTCCAGCGGGCCCCAGGCAGCCTCCGGCCGCCTCCAACTCTTCCTGCAGGGAGCGCAGTTGGCCCTCTTGCACCAGCCTGCAGAGGCGCCGTGGATCCACAGGCGAAGCCATCACCCTAGACCAGGCGTGACAAAAGTATGGGGAAAATAGTGCTCCAGTCCTTCTAAACACAGACCACTGCGCCGATAGGTTGGGCGAAGGTGAGATGGCTAGGACTTCCGCTTCCTCCACGTGACCGTTCTCCCAGACGCTCCGCCCCCCCCAGCCGGATGCTGTCCGCCAGCGTCTTTTTTATGACTCCAGCTCTGGTTTGGAAGTCACAATTTCCAGTGTGGAATGGTGTCTCCTTAGGCGACCGGATCGACAACAAGCACGCTCATAGGTCTTTCTGGTAACCGCGCTCCAAACATGCAGACTCGTCAGGGTGGGTCCTTAGGTTCCCGGAGCCCGTGCAGCTTGGGGTAAGGGCATGCATCTGACATCTTAGAGCTGTCCCTTGCACCCGAGTGATCTGGGGACGAAAGACCTAACAGAATGAAGTGTGCTGATGGACCACGAAGCCCTGAAGTGGAACAGAGGGGCTTTGCAGCCTGACCTCGCACCCTACGGCACTATACCGTACAGCCTACGGGGATATCTGCCGGCCGGGCTGCACAGCCGGGGTCTCGGGCTACTCCGGTGGTAACTGCAAAGGCAGCAGGACCGGAGCGTGGTGGGTTCTCCACAGCTGAGAGCACTCTGCCTACTACTCTGGAGCCTACCCGGCTTAGGTGTGTTGTGGGGATGTCTGCCGGGCCGCACAGCCTCATCTTTGGGCTGCACAGCCTCATCTGTGGGCTGCACAGCAGTGACCTCGGGCAGCCCAGGCTCCCAACAGCAGGGTTTCTGGGGCCTCTCGGAGGTGGAACAGTGACCCCCGTGCTCCGCCCGCTCCTTACCCAATCCGCAGCGGACCCCAGCCCCCTCCCCGCCCGCTGCTGCCTCCTCGGCCCCCGCGGGAACTCAGAGAGCTCGAAGGAACTCTGGGAAAGTTTCCTTCGCCTCCTCCGCGCCAGCGGAAGCACCGGCGGGGCGTGGCCCGGGTCCTTGAGCCACGCCCCCTCTGCCTCGCGTACGGATTGGCTCTAGAAGCCGTCTGTCCGTTCGGCCCTCCAGTTCCGAGTTTCGACTGGTTCACGGGTCCATCCGTCGTCTCCGGCGGAGGGTGCATCTTGGCAGAGAAGGGGCGGAGCTCGCGGAGGAAGTCTGCAGCCGTCTCGGCTCGCTGTCTGAGCCGAAGGAGGGGTTTGCTGGTCGGGGGAAGGCTGGATGTCCAGCGGCACCGGCCGGGTGGTGTCGGCGGCGGGGTCCTGGGCCGGGCCACCATAGTGCGTGAGATTGTGGACTTGGCGTGGGGTGCGAGCCGTGCAAACTTCACCTTGTGGGGCCCAGCGTAGGGGTCTCGGCCTCGGGGGTGGGGCCCGAGCTGAGGGTGGGTGTAGGAGGTGGCCGCGCCCGCGATGGTCAGGTGTGGGCCTGCTAGTGGAGGCCCGGGGCTCTCTGCAGACCGGTGCCCCTACGCCGCTCCCTGAGGCTCCGGAAGGGGCAGCACTCGAGAAGTAGCCTCTGCTGCTGGCAAGCCTGACTTGGCTACACTGTAATGTTGTTTTTGACCTTGGGCGAGTCATTGTATTCTGCTCCCGACGTTTGTGTTTGCCTTGGTAGTCTGCCACCCCTTCACCTGCCACAACCTGAACAGGTGATGATTCAGGGGACAGAAGAAGGCCTAGGGAGCCTTTGGAGGATGGAGGACTCACTGAGATCCGAGCAAGCTTTGTTGGATTCCTTTCGAGGAACTGGACATGTAACCTAATAATGTTTTTATTTGTTTGTTTAAGGAATAAAATGGAAGTTGCTACTGTCAGGCCTAAAAGCAAGTTCTCTGAATTTGGCACTGCACTCTGGTTCACAAAGTGCCTGCCATTGTCTGTTCCATAAACAGCCCATAGGCAGTCTGGTTTTAGAGGCAAGGACATTAAGGCCTAATGAAGTTAGTGATTTTTTTTTTTTTTTACCACGTTTTGGAAAGTTGAGGCATCTGGTAGTTTCAAACTTTTTGCCACTTTGCATGGTATGTTTTTGTAAGTCCCATACCATGCAACTGAGGGGAAACTGAGGCAAGAGGACCTTGAGTTTGAGGCTAGTCTGGGCTACCAACTCCTTCTGTACAAATGATGGATTTTTTTTGCCTTCTATCTCTAGTTTCCCATCCTTTAAACAAAACTGAGACCCGTGGTTCACATAAGGATGAAATATTTGAAATCCAGGATAATTGATTATTTAATTGATGTTCCAAATAAGATTCTTACTCTCCTCTGTGTTTTGAATTTGCTGTGGTATGTGTTTTCCTTTGTGGGGGAGGAATCTGTGAACCTGAGATCTTCTGGAGGGGAGTGGGTATTTGTGCATTAAGCTTGTGAATAGGGCTATTGCTGTTCTCTCTGTCTGGTCGAGCTGCCCATTTCTTTAGTGAAGTACTTTGGAGTCTGTGGCCTGGCCTTTACTGTCTCAATTTCCATTTGCTCTCATTGGAATTGGGATTTTTTGTTGTATTTCATGGATCTGTGGCACTTGGGTGTTGCCCTTGAAGAATCCATTCCTTAACATGTTTCCTGACTTGTCAATACATAAAACTATTTGGATTCTAATTTCAAATGTGTTACTATCTTTTTTTCTTCTATTTCTCCATCCCTTCCAGGCTGACTTTAGTTTAGAGACAAATTTAGATTCTGTCTTTGCTCTTCTGGCTGTGAAATAACTTCTAGAACTTATCACCAAAGCCAACTTCTGTATTGTTATTGGCCAGTCACATGCTTTTTGAAGACTGCTCTTATGTTTCATAGACCTTTTCTGGTGCTTACCTGGGTATTCCCTCAAAAACAAAAACAGAACCTTTAAAAATGGTAATCTGGACATGGTGCACACACTTGTCCGCCCAGCACTTAACTAGACTTTGTTCTAAGACCCTACCTTAGCAGAGCAAAGCAAACCAGCCAGCAACCAAAACAAAACACACAAGAAGAAACCCTGAAAAATTATTTTATTTATTATTATTATTTGTTGTTATTGTTGTTGTTTGAGATAGGATTTCTCTGTGTAACAGCTCTGGCTGTCCTGGAACTAGCTCTTGTAGACCAGGCTGGCCTCAAACTCAAAGAGATCCGCCTGCCTCTGCCTCCCGAGTGCTGGGATTAAAGGCGTGTGCCGCCAACACCCGGCTCTCCTTTGCTTTTTAGCATAGCTAATGATGCTATTTCTCTTACCGCTCCATAAGAAATGTGACTTATCCTTGATTTTTCTCTTAGTCTTAACACCTTGTTGATACTCGCCTGTCCTTCCTACTCAGCTTCTGCTCTCAGGCCCTCTCCAATTCCTGCTTAGCTTGGTACCATGACTTTCTCATTTGTTTTGCTGACAAGTTCCATGTCTATATAAACTTGATTGTGTAATGACCTAGCTTTAAAAACTACATGATACTCTGAATTGCCTATGCATGCCTTCTGAATTCCCCAAATACAAGGTAACATTTTAATTCTGTGCCCTCAAACACAATGGTACCTAAGTTTGTAAAAAGACACTCCTACAGTTTAAATCACATATTGACCCCCATACACTGATAGTGGGAGACTTCTTTTTTTTTATTAGTCATTTTTTGAAATTTATTTAACGGAACAGCCACAGTTTCCCCTCCCTCCTCTCTTCCTGTTCTCCCCACCCCCAAACATTTCCCTTCTACCCTTCCATCCACTCCTCCTCCATCTCCATTCAGATGGGGTAAAAGGCCAATTTCTGTTTTTGGTTTTTCGAGACAGCGTTTCTTTGTAGCTTTGGAGCCTGGCCTGGAACAAGCTGTTGTTGACCAGGCTGGCCTCGAACTCACAGAGATCTGCCTGAAAAGCCAATTTCTTTAGCAGTATATAAGAGGACCTTTGTAGTCTCTGGCTCCAGGTTCATTTTTCAGCCTTGTTATCTATCATTTCCTATTAGTTAGCTTTTTATTCTGAAGAAATGATGAAACTGTTCTGTCACACAGTGCTTTGCAATGCCTTTGTTTTTTTCTCATATTGTTTTCTTATGCCTAACTGAATCCCATTCGTCATTTACAACTTGATTTTCACGGAGCTTCTTCCAATGATCCTAGTTATATTTACTACCACAGGCCCTTATGCATGTATTTATGTAGTGCTTGGATTGCTGTGTGTTTAGTAATTTGTGTTTGTTTTGTTGGCTGCCTTATGGTCAGGCTTGCTTATTTTCATATGCTCTCCAATGTCTAAAATAGCATTAGCACAAGGATACCATAAGGAATGCTCTCATGAAGTTCATAGTAAATCTGAGATGTCGTAGATACATGAAGAGATTGAGGAGGAAATGCATAGTAGAAAAAGGTTTTCAAATATATGAAAGTATATTGTGGACAGAAAATAGTGAACTTTCTTTTTGTTTGTTTTCTGTCATTCCTTCTGAGGAACACAGAATGAACAGCCTAGCCCATCCTTTCTTGCTATAATAGATGAATGCTGTTCTTAAGAAAGTAGTAGGTACTTCAGGGTATGAGGTGACTGCAAAAGATTGAGGCTTCTGAGCTGGGAAGATGGATGGCTCAATTGGTAAAGTTCTTGCCAGTCAAGCATGAGGACCTAAATTGGATCCTTAGCACCACATAAAAAGCCGTTCATTCCCGTGTATGTCTTGTAAGCTCAGCACTGGGGAGACAAGACAAGTACCACGGGCTTGCTAGCCAGCCAGTCTAGCTGAATCAGGTGACCTCTGTGTCCCAGTTAGAGACCTGTCTTAAAAAACAGGACAGACTCTGAGGAATGACACCCAAGGTTGACCTGGCCTCCTGATGCATATATACCAGCATAATTTTCCCAATACTCCTCACAACACAAGATTGGGCCAGCTGACGTGGACCTTTGGGTTTAAAGAAACAGGATGTAGTGGCTGGTAGGTTCTGTCTTTGCAGGAACACCGAATGCCAGAAAGGGAAACCAGAAAGGAGTATGATCTCTTCCTCATCCTGTGTTTGCTAGTTTGTTTCTGTTTCTGTTTTTTTGTTTTGCTTTTTTGCTGTTTTCGTTTTTTTAGACTATATCAGCTATCTTTGGTTGTGACAGTGTTGTTGTCTTAATGGTGTAAGACTTCAACTTGAGGGTATTTGTTTTGTTTTTAGTAAAGTCTTACTGCATAGTTCAGGCTGGCCTTCAGTTCTTGAGTACCAGGATTAGTTATGTATCCTTTTATTAAAAATTGTTTTTATTGAGCTGTATGTTTTTTTTTCTGGTTCCTTCCCTTACTCCCATCCCCCTTCTACCCTCTCCCATGATTACCATGCTCCAATTTACTCAGGAGATCTTGTCTTTTTCTATTTCCCATGTAGATTAGATCCATGTATGTCTCTCTTAGGGTCCTCTTTGTTGTCCAGGTTCTTTGGGGTTGTGAATTCTACGCTGATTTTTCTTTGCTTTATGTCTGAAAGCCATTTATGAGTGAGTACATATGATATTTGTCTTTTGTTATATATCTTTATGTCCCATTAACTTGACATTTTTCCAACCTCCTGTAAAGTTTTCTGGACCTAGAAGAGGAGAATTTTAGAGTGGAAAGCACAGCAGACCAAGGAGTCAGAAAACCCAAGTTCTGGTGCTGGTATTATTAGTTAGGAAAAAATATGAAGTGTGTGTGTGTGTGTGTGTGTGTGTGTGTGTGTGTGTGTGTGTGTTTATACACATCAGCATGTGCAGGTGCTTGTAGAGGCCAAAAGAGGGCATTGGTCATCCCGGAGCTGGAATTACAAGCCATTGTGAGCTGCCCAACATGGATGCAGGGAATTGAATTCTGTTCATCTCCAAGAGCAGCCAGGGCTCTTTACCACTGAGCCATCTCCAGCTCCTGGTACCCTTGCTCAGCTGTGACTCGGAGCAGGTCTTTGCTGAGCCCTAATTCCATCGAAGAATCTTGTGATTATTTTGCAGGTGACGTGAGCGCGTAGGGAAGGAATTGCCAATCTTATAAAGCCTTAAAGAGCTGTAAGATAGTGGAAGCCAGCACAGCCCCAACTGTAGAAGGCAGTCCTATAGCTGTGCAGGTCTTCATTCACTTAGCAGTTATATATGGTGTTACATATGGAGGATGCTGGGTATTAATATATTCCTCATTTCCCCTTCCCGCTAAATCTTACAGTAAATATTTAGCCTCAGAGTGGAAACATAAGCTGTCGTTATATAAGTAATTGCTAAAAATGTAATACAATGGATATGTGTGTGTGTGTGTGTGTGTGTGAACAATAATCTCTGTAAGGTATACTTTAATAAATATTTATGAAAGCATTATAAGTATCTCAGAAATGTAGG